GATAATATACTTTTATATGTTTACTTTGTGTTTGGGTAAGACTATATGGGGTGCAAAAAAAATTTCTATTGTTAGCCAAACGTACTAATCGACATGTGTAATAAGCTTGTAACAAATTAAGTCATATTCAACCAACCTTCGATTATTAATTATTTTAAGCTACTTATAATTTTTGATTATGTATTTTTGTTTTAGGCTGAAAATGAATGGTTTCAAAAATGAAAAAAAAAATCACAATACAAGCTTACATGCACATGGTTTTCAGTTCTTACGCTTTTAGAAAACCGCTCCAATAAACATAAAAAACTGCACCAAAGTCTAGACACGATTTAAAACCAAAACCGCACCAATACAAACCGAAACCGCATTTAAAAACCGTAAAACCGAACCGTTGCAAAACCGCACCTAACGGTTTTAAGAATGAAAAAACCGCACCATACGGTTTGCGGTTTGGTTTGGCCTTAAAACCGCATCAAACCGCACCATGCTCACCCCTAGTTACAGGTATAAGAAAACCACTTGCTTCATTTCCATTCCAATCCTTCAAAGTTTTCAATCGTTTCAATTTGTTGTCAATAATTTATGAAAACATATATCAGATTACATTTTTATGTATGAATTTCAGTTGGGGATCATTGATATGGAGTGTGAGTTGATTGATCCTGATAATCTATTAAATCAGATAAGAACACTAAAGTCGATTAATGTTGATGAAGTTATGGTTGATACATGTTGGGGAATTTTTAGAAGCAAATGCTACTAATTGATTATCTTAGAATTTATAATGCTTGTAGATCCCCACCTCTTTTGATTGTCTCTTAATATCCAACTAGACATGTTCAAAAATTCTATATCATCCAAAATGCAATTAGAACTTACTCCTTATCTTTATGTAAGGGTGAGCATATTAACCAATAATTCAAACCGAAACCAATATAACCAATATAACAGAACCACTACTAAAAACAATGTGCAATTTTGATTTTGATTAACCGGATAGGCGGATACATATGATTCAGTTATGGTTTTTTGTAAAACTGAACCACTAGAAACCGAACCTATAGTATTAATGAATATATATATATATATATATATATATATATATATATATATATATATATATAATATGTGATGTAATTTATACAAGGAGATGATAATTGTAAGGGTAGTTTGATAGAACAAAGTGTCGATGATTTAGGTGTTGTTTGTTTTTTACCTGCAGATCTTCTTGGCCTCTTCTGTCTGTGCCGTGCAGACCACGTGCAGACATTAGGCTTCACAGACTATTTGTTTTTTATGAAGAATGTAGACCTAAAAAGGTTTGTACGTCCTCTTCTTGGCGTAAATATGGACCAGAGTCTTCAAACATCTTAAGACATCTTCTAGCCTAAAAAAACAATACATCTTTGTTTTTTTTTTTAAAAAAAAAACTTAGATTTATTTCAATTTTATCTATGTTAAACAATTTGGAAAAAAATGTTACAATACTTACAGAAAAAAAGTTCAACTACACAATCATGGCATTTGTGACAAATATATAAATAATGATTTAATTACAATAAAGGTCATTAGAGTTGTTTATATAAATATGAAAAAAAAAATCTTATTATTGTTTTATATTTTTGTGACAAATTTTATAAAACATTATTTAATGCAGTATCATTCATTTCTTAGAAAAAAATATTTATGGTCATTTTTTAATTGATTTAATTGAAAAAGTAAAATGAAAATTTTGAAAAGTTTCATTTAAAATAAAAGTTTATTTCCATTTATTTTATGTGTTAAATCTTTTATTCCTAATTGTAATGTTTAGGTATAACTTTGCGACCATAGTTTGTTGTTTTTATTAAATATATAATATACGTTAATTTATATCATTTTATTTTCGCTTTTTATACAATAATACATAAAAGTTTATCTATATTTGTTAATTATCTATAATATAAGTCATAAAATTATTGAAAAAACTCTGTTAAGTTTTTTTTTTTAAATCAGTTTAGTTAGATTTTAGTTTATTTCAGCAGTCTGCGGATGTTAAAAAACAAACATTATATTTCTTTTAGACTGCAGACGTTTGATCCACCTCTTCTACTGCAGATGTATGCAGATTTGGTCCGTAGACTACAAACATTTTGCCTCAGAAAATACAAACGACACCTTAATTTAGTTAAATCGGTTTAGATTAAATGGTTTGTATAACTTGTTATTTATTATGTTTTAAATATTTTCAATATTTATTATACATAATATTAAATATTGAATTTTAAAAATATATAATAAAAATGAAATACGTAATGGCCTAATGGGTTATTGAATGTTAATGACCCAATAATCAATACTCAATATAACGATATCTATTATCTAATAGACTATAACACGCATTGAGTTAAATCCCTAAAAGTCAATTCTTGTTCTCTTTTCCTTCTCGTTCTTCATAGTCACATCGGCCGTTCACCACTCACGTATTGACCCAAATTTTTGGCACTTTTCGTTCAATCTTTCATCTTGGAGGCAACCGACTGAAGTTATCTACTCCAATCTATCTCCTTATCTACTTAATATCTACTCCAATCTATCTATTTATCTACTTAAGAATAGGTAATTAACTGGTTTTTTTTATTGTACTTTAAATTTTAGACTTTATCCCTGTAGTATTTTTGTTTATTTTTAAAAAAGTGTTAATGGTGTTAAACTTTGATCCTTTGAACATTTTTATGATTTTAGAATATTAGAATCCGTATTCTTTATTTTAGTATATTTAAAATAGATACAATACTATTTATCGCAACGTATTTTTACTGAGTTTGAACCAAAAAACTAGAAAAAAACAGGAGCTCATAAACCCAACCCGGAAAACCGAACCATGCAAAAACCAAACCCATATGGGTTTAAAAACCGAAAAACCGACTTTCTACGGTTTGGTTTGGTTTTAGCCAAAAACCGACCCATGCTCATCCCTAGCGGCATGGAGAGAGATTACCCGACTCACAAACCATAACAAGCATCTCTTTCTCTATTTCTTGCTTTCTATCTATCTCTCTAAGACCGTAAGATATGTATGAGAAAAATCTTTCACTATTTGAGTGTCATGTCAGTTTTGCCTCACTTTTCTTTCACTCATCAAAAAGCAGGAAATTGTCATCTTCCACTACCTTTCACTACATTTTATTTTTTTAAAAATATATATTTTATACAAACATTATACTCATTTTGTAGGGAATTAAAAACCATGAATTTTGATATAATTTTGATAAATTTTTAGTAGATACATAATTTAATAAATATTAAAAAAACAAAAAAAAAAAACAAAATACATAAAAGTCTAACCAACTTGATGAGGAGAAAGAATGCGGGATAGGCCCCCTTCAATCTTTTCTCACGCTCATATTTCTTTACCTTCGGTATGGTGTTTTAAGATGAGGGAAAACTTGCCTCACACCTTTCTCGCTCCAGCTTGATTTACATACTATTTTTATATTAAAAATTATGTATTTTGGGTGCTAGAGCAATGGGGTATTCTAGGACATCTGTTATGGTTTTGAACTTTTGATGTTATAATATGTAAGAATTTTTTTTTTCACAAAATAGCATTTGTTAAAAAAATAAAATTTTATATTCACAAAATTATACATTTTTAAATCTTTCTAAAAACGTTGAATCCTCTCTAATAAATGAAAGTTTTTTTTACCACTTGTCACACTCTCATTCAATTTGTCAATATCATTGTGGTTATTTTTAATTAATTATTTTTTCCACATGTCATTTTATGAGGTTTTTTATTTTATTAAATTACACATAATATTTTAATGTAATAATTGCAATAAATATAGCAATAAATGGATAATAATTTCATTAATAAACTTATCTTTTAATTTTAAAATTCCCAAAATTAAAGCTAATTAGTTTTTTTTCTTTATTTAAATTATTTGTTTAAAATTAAAAGATAAAAAACATTTTCATTATAATAATTAACTATTTTTTTTATTTTCTTATAAATTCAAAGTTCGCAAATATTTTGAACTTTATATTTACCTCTTTTTTTTTTTAAATTAACTCATATAATACATGGGTATCACAACTAATCTTTAGTATTTAAACCTTTCGACTATCATCAAAATTTGATTTTTTTTTTCGATTCAAACATTCCAAAATCGGTTTCCTAGTGAAAAAAAAATATAAAAATAAAAAAGATTTATGATTAAATTTGGAACCAATTTCAAGGTTTATGATTAAATTGGATGGAAAATATGAGCCACTATTGTTTTTTTATTAATTTGGAAAACCAATCGTTTTCCATTTACACGCCTGTTTTTGGTGCCCCGTGTCTCCAACCAAAACACCAAAACTGAAAAATATAAATAGCAGCCGCAACCCCCAAGTATCGTATATCAACTCGACGTTTCTCTCTCGTCTGTCACCGCCCCTCCTTCGCCCTGCGTAACCCATATCTACTCGCCGGCAGCACCTTTCCCTCGTGAATAAAAAAAAAACCATTCTTGAAACAATTTCATATACTCATATCCGTTCTTAGATCTCCATTGTCAACGGCAGTCAAAACAGTGAAAAGGAAAAAGGTTTCGTTTCAAGCAGTCGAAGAAGTTCTGGGGTAAGGTTTATAACTTTTCCTACCTTCAGTTTATTTGTAGCCGTTTTTTTTATTGACTACAATGTGTGGTTTTAAAAAAATCCGATTTATTTATCGTTACCTGTTGCTTGTTACAGGTTCTTGAAAATCAATTTATTGTTAATTATTAGTTGAAAATTGATTTGTTTATTGTTAATATATAATATTTTGTTTATGTTAGTTGAATATCGATTTGTTGTTGTTAATGTTATACGTAGTTAATATTTTATTAGGGTTTATCGAAAATCAAATTCTAATTGATAGGGTTTATTAATTTCAACGATTTTATAATAAGATATAGTTTGTTGGACAAAAGTACTAAAATGTCATTGGTTAATATTCACTAGCTAATTGTTTTATTATTTTGTTAGAAAGAATGGAAAATTTTCTGAAAAGAAAATTATCAATATCCGAATCTGACAGTGATGACGATGAATGTGAAAATCTAATGAGTCAAGATCAATCTTTAGCCGATGCTGATGATTTAAAAAACGATCCTCAACTTCTATTAAAGGTTTCAATTTCAGCTGCTAGATATTTGTTGAAATGTGAAATACCTTTTCATGTGGCTGATGAGTCCGAAATGCCTTTTCAAAGTGGAATGTTCTTGGAAACAATAAAACTTATCCGAGATACATGTGAAAATGTTCGTGAGGCATCATTGCAAAATCCTGAAGAGAGTAATCGAGTGGAGACTCTAAGTATGCAAAAAGATATTGTTACTTGTTATGCCCAAGAAATACTCAAACCCATTCTTGAAGAAATTGGTGATGATGTGTTTAACGAGAAACTAATGTCTGTGGTTTTACGATATGTTACATGTGGAATTGTAAAAGAAAGATTCATTGGTCTTATTCATATGGAGGAGACATCTGCTTTATTTCTTAAATCCTCCATTGAATCTTTATTTGCCGAATATGGATTGAGTTTGAAAAAGGTGAGAGGCGTAGGTTATGATGGAGCAAGCAATATGCGTAATGTGTTTAGAGATTTGAAAACTTTAATAATGAAAGAAAATGACTCTGTGTATTATGTTCATTGTTTTGCATACCAACTTCAGTTAGTTGTTGTAGCAGTTGCACAAGAACACTATGGTTCTGGAGTTTTATTTGACAAGATACCCATTATGAAGGATGTGGTTGGTGCTTCTTGTAGTCGAAAAAATTTAGAAAGAGAAAGCCAAAAAGAGAAATTGCATGAAGCAATAGGGTATAAAGAAATTGAAATCGAAAGTGAGTCGGATGAAGATTTTCCTATTGTAAAAGTTGTTGATGTATGCGGGGGTTCTCATTACACAACACTTTCGCGTTTGGTTGATTTGTTTTCATATGTTTTTGATGTGCTTGAATATATTGAAGTGGAAGGGAGAAATAACCATAGTCGATATCAAGCATATAGTCTTCTAGCATATATCGACTCGTTCGATTTTATGTTTTATTTGCACTTGATGTTGAATATTTTGGGGATCATAGATCCATTGTCACAAGCTCTTGAAAGAAAAGAGCAAGATATTTTGAACACAATCTCATTGGTGAAATCAACTATTCGACAACTTCAAAAGTTTAGAGTTGATGGGTTCGATTTACTTTTGAAGGAGATATCTTCTTTTTTTGAAAAACATGATATGGAAATGTTGAATATGGAGGAAGAGTATGTCATCCGAAGACAAAAGACGAATATCACCCTTCGGCAACATTATGAGTTCAATTGTTTTAACATAGTTATGGATATGCAAATTCAAGCGCTTCATGATTTTTTCAATGATGCAAGTTGTGAATTGCTTACTTGTATTTCCGCATTGAATCTATCTGATTCATTTTGTGACTTTGACACATCAAAGCTAATGAGATTAGCCGAGATGTATCCGTATGATTTTACATGTGAGGAAAGGGTGGCTCTTAAGCTTCAACTTGATTTGTACATTGATAATGTGCAACATGATGAAAGATTTGCTAACTTGAATGGTATATCTGACCTTGCTAAAATGATGGTGGAAACAAGAAAACATCTTACGTTTCCTTTGGTCTATCGGTTATTAAAGCTAGCTTTGGTTTTGCCTGTTGCTACCCCAACAGTTGAAAGATGTGTTTCTGCAAAGGAGACTGTGAAGTCATATTTGAGTAATCAAATTTGTGATGATTTTGTGAGAACTTGTGTGATTCCTGTTGTAGAAAAAGAAGCACTTTGCAATGTCACGAATGAAGATGTAATAAATCGGTTGCAGAAGATGGAAACTCATGGAGAACAATTGTAGAATGTTATTGTTTCTTATTTCTAATGTCATTTTGTGTTTTTTTATTAATTTTTATTTTATTATATGTTAATTATATATGATTTTCTTGAAGGTGGTGATGTTCGGGGAGAAGAATGGATCTCCTGGTGCTGAGTTAATCAAGGGATGATATTTGGTCATGGGTTGCTGTCAAAGTCCCTGCAGCAATTTTTTTTTGTTTAATATTTTGTGGTATTTTCAAGCTTTTGAACTATATTCTCTTAATACATTTTGATCGATCTATGCTACTTGTGGACAAAAAATGTTTGGCAGTTGTTTCAAGTTTAATTGTGCAATGAATCGACTTTATATTAGCCTCTGCGCTGAAAAAAACGGTAAATAGAAAAAGAAATATATTTTTGATTTTATTCCTACGTAATTTGTCTGATTGAAAATTGCATGGGATTTTGCATTCGATATCAGTTTATCAAATTATGTATCTCAACTGATAGACTTCTATTGCGATAATTAAAAAAAATATATATTATTGTATGTATATAATATGTAAAATTAAATCAAACTAAAACCACTTTTAGAAAAATTATATAAAAAATTAGTGTAAATTACAAAAAAATTTCAATGTGGAAACTGGAATATGAATTTCCTTCAAACAAAAGTTTATCACATCAATAGTCTCTTAATCTCTTATATGAGAAATTTGTATTTGTTATTAAATCATATATCTCAAGTCTCAAGCCCATATAAATTACTAAGACTTAAGTCCCGTTTGATAGTTTCTGTCCGGGAAAGAGTTGTCTGGGAAAATGTTATATTGGAAAGTCTTCTGACTGAAAAAGAAACCATGATGTTTGATTGTATATCTGATTGACTGTGCTGAATGATGAAAAATAACAATATTACCCTAACGTTCTATACTGTGATGGACGGAGTTGTTGAATAATTATAAAACATATACATTATCATTCAAAATCAAAATTACACAATAATCATTTAAAAATCCAAATACAATGCCGATTAAGTTGTTTTTAGTTTATTATTTTTCAAGTTGATGTTACGTTGTTATTCTTTCTAGCCATTTTTGTTTTTTTATTACTCAACGTGTGATTTTTGACACAGTTTATGTCCGGTATGGTGGAATGGATATTTTTTTTTAAAATATATTAGGATGATGGTGGTGTTGTCCAAAAAAAAAATTAATCCAACAAAAATGAATAGAAAAATTAACTAAAAAAATTAATAATCCAATAAAGTAATACTTATTAATATATAATAATCCAATAAAAAAGAATTAATCCATAAAAAGGAAATAAAAAAAAATTATTTAAAAGAAATTAATAATCAAATAAAATAATATCAATTAATACATAAATATTATATATTAAAAATAACATTTATTAATATAATAATCCAATAAAAAAAGTAATAATTCAATAAAAAAGAAATTTAAAAAAACTATTTAAAAAAAATTAATAATCCAAAAAAGAAAGAGACGGTGTTTGGGGTACAATTGTCTTTACAGTCTATTCAGTCAGAAAAATATGATTTTGGAGTTTTCTGGAAACAGACATATTATCATAAAAGACCTATTTTTTATGCATATCAAATAGTCTTTTCGTTCCATTCACCTAGAAAGATCTGTTTGGAACTGAAAATATGTCTATAAACACCTAATTTTATGACTTGGTATTATTTATCAACTATTTAAAATCATTAAATACCATTCCAATGACTTATCTTGTTACTACTACATATTTTTCAACCACTTGATTATACATTGTAGCATTCCATTTTATCTCATCTCCTCATTTTTATATTTCTGATTATATTTTATAAAGATAAGTTAATAATTGTAGACGTTCTTTAAGAAACCATCAATGAAATAAAAAATATAAAGCATATTCACCATAAGGACCAAAAACTTGTAAGTGATAAAAAGTCAATAATAGCATATTCTAAGTTTGTCGCAAATGCCCACCGTGTTCGTAACTTTTAAAATTCCAAACTCAATATCATTTAAGCAACCCGACAACCGTGAAACACCTTTTGTATGGGCTAGTTAGATTTTATTCTAAAGAAAAATGGTGATTTTAACCCTCTCTTTTGAGACAATAGCAAATAGAATTATCATATGAAAGACACAAATGTTTAAGAAGCGCTCTTTTTTTATCCCTCTTCGAAAGTATCTGCGTGATTGCCACCGCAAAAAAAAGTGACAAACAAAGGTTAACGCTGAGGGCTCTTTATGCCAAATACTTTGACACTACATGGGAGAAAACAAGAAATCTCCTAAGCAATACATATCTTCCTATTGATATTAAACATGCCAATTATTTTAGAAAAATAGTATTCTTTATAAGAAAATAAAGTTGTGGAATTAGGCTTAGGGGCCGTTTGATAGTTGCGGACCGAATCAGCTAAGGCCTGACTTGGTCTAAAGCTTTGACTGCATCTGGTTCAGACTGAAACCATGTTGTTTGATTACGCATCTAACTGGTTGTTCTGACCGCTAAAAATGACCCATATACCCTTATTTTTTGTTTTGTGCTGAATAAAAGGTATATGTTTATAATTGATAAATTATATGAATAGAATTGATGAAGAGTTATACAAAATATTATACAAGTACAACCATTTATAATATATACACAATAAGAGACCCACAAAGACAAAGCAAAAGTATTCACATATGCACATGATCTGGGTCTTTGAGTTGGAAGGTATTTTTCAGATTTATGTCCATAAACCATAATCTAACAAAGGAACCAAACAATTTTAGACTAACACTTCCACCACCATACAACAAGTCTATCTTCCTACTCATCTGCAATTACAAAAACAAAGAAATAAAGCAAAATTTAATCAATTCTTTTGATTCATTGAGCTCCAACAGATCAACTTCAATTTGTTTTCTTCTCACTCTAAAAAACCTTCCATTAATGTATGCAAAGCCTCAAATCTGCTATAAGAATGATGGAGATATAAATATATAAGAATAAAAACAGAAAATAACCATTGCTTCCAACTTATGTATTAGACAAGTCCAAACATGACGTTTAGGTCAAAACGAAAAGATGTAGTTGGGTCATACACAAATAGCATCAATTTTCTGCAAATAAATTCATAAAAACATCTAATTCAGAAAATAAATACACAAATAACATCTAATTTCAGAAAATACATACATATTTGCATCTAATTTCATGAAAAAAAAAACAGAGGAAAGATGCTTACCGTTAGACTTGCAGGTCGGCGTTTGTGGAGGAGGGACGGAGGAAGACGCTGAGTCTGGAGAGGAAGAGGTTGGAGGACGACGAAGTGGCTGATAAATGGAGATGGTGGTCTCGCTTGATCGAACTGATGGAAGTTTCAAGCGAATGTTGGAGGCGATTATAGTCAAGGTTGGAAAAGGGAATAAGCACGTATGGTTCCAGTCAACTTCATTTTTTAGATGGATCGAGTCGGAGGAAAATTGTTGACTGAGTCAGCTACAACGTCCGACTCCATGCAAATCAAAGATACTGACTCGAACCAAGTCAGCCAAAATCTCTGACTGGACCCGGTCAGAAGCAGATCAAATGGCCCCTAACTAGTAAAGTTGAAGGATTGTTTAAATTTATAAACTCAAAGTTTATAAAATATAAACTTTGTCTTTAGGTAAAAGACAAAAGGATTCAACTATTCCAAAAATATGTACATGGTTTATTAAATCATATCATATGATATAATAACTAGTTATACTCTCTTTTAATTATTATTTTCACAAAACAATAATTATTACCTAATTAAATACAAGACTTGATATTATTTATTAATAATCATATTAATAATAAATAAACAACATGTGTCAACTTGATAAAGGTGTGACCCTATAGGATCATATATTATTATCAATATCACTTAATAATGATTCTTGGGCATATAGATTTAACAATTTCCCACTTGCACAAGATTCATTACAAAATGACATAGCCAGTAGTTGTGTCTAGCAACAAGCTACTTCCCCTAACAACATATGAAGGGTGTCATCTTATCAACAACTAATTCCAGGATCTCTAAGCTACAACTATTACTAAAGGTGTGGTATCAGTTATTCCTTTGTTTCAGACATCATGTTGAACATGAGATATGGATCGTGATCAATCTCATTTAGTGCTCAACTTAGAGTAAGGCATTAGATGTCTAACTCTAAACTAATAAGAGGAACAAATCTCATCTTGACTACATACACCCATCAATGTAGTTCATGTCATAAGCAACAATTCCTACACTTCAAGTCCTAACACATGTATCTTAGGTTTAAGAAGTCAAAGATACAACCTTGATCAAAACATCACTCATGACTACGATCCATAAAGTGATTTTGATGTGGGTTAGGTCTGATACTTATTCTCCTAATTAAGTATCTACTAAGTTGGTAGTAGCTCTTTCTATTCTCACCTCCATGAGAATCAACCAATCTACTCATATTAGTCTTACCTCATAGATGCTCCCACAGCTATGAACAACTATGGACATTTAGAATAACCTTGTTATTCAAGGATTGAAACATGTTAATATAGAACACAACAATGATTTAATGAGATACTCATATCTAATATATCAACTCATTACAATATATGTTGCTTGTATTGTTCCAATATCCAAATACTAAATTTCAGCCATATACATATACTTATATCAGCAAGGCCCTATAGCACCATCTTGACTTTCATGTTTTAGCTAATAAAGGATCTTTGTTTAGTTGATTTGACAAACTTGATTTGTATAAACTTTGTGAATACAAACATTTTCAACTATATATATATATATATATATATATATATATATACATACATACACACATATATATCATATATAGAGAAAACTATTGAGAATGTATTAGACGCTTAAATATGAATTAGATACCAATACTTGCGTAATGGGATTACTCATAGTCATAATGAACTATACATTAAGCATTTTTGTATGTGGTTCTCCAAACCACAATGTACTCTAACTCTGATGTGTAACTGTAAATAAAATCTACATGGAACCACCATCCATGTAAATTTCTCTCCATTCATAATGAGGACACGCTTGATTGTGACTGAGAGTCATCTCAATCTATTTGAAAGTTTGACACATGTGTAACACCTTTAAACATAGATTTCTTTCAAATACTACGCATATTAGGAATATTTCTTTAGTTCTCGCAAGTACTTTATAATGTTCCTATAAGTCACACCATGACTTGTTCTCAGATTATACTTGTATCAATCGACATGCTCTAAGCATACGAAATATTTGGCCTTCATGCATAATCATGACATATATGATTAATCCAATTGCAGCAACATATGGAATACAATCATATTATCTTGTTTAAACTGTACTTGGATTTTGAGGAGTCCTCAAAATCATGCCATGTGGTATTTGATAAGATAACTCTCTCAAAGTCCTTTATCTTAAGCTCTTTAAGATCCTTGACAATTAATGGAATTTTACTTAATCCTTTAAGTTGCCATGATCTATCCATATGGATCCTTATTCCAAGAATTAGTATGTCAATCACATATAAAACTAGGAATGTTACTTCGCTCCCACTAGATTTATAGAAAACACAAGAGTCATCTTGATTTATAATCATATCATACTATGTAATTATCTTATAAGAAATAAGATTCTTACTTTGAGTTGTTAGATTAAATCAGAGAAGATTTTCATTCATGTATGTTTTCTCCTTTGAAAACTCACTTATTCTTTATATTCGTAATATATCGAGGAAGATTAATCAAGCCTATATCTATGTGTTTTATTAGTTTCTGATCAACTATTGAGTAGATTCAACAACAGTTGAAAACTTGCTAGTTCCAAACTATGATGCATTTAACTTATGGTTCTTTATCTCTTAATATTCCATATTGCTCCCACTTAGAAAAAAGAGCTTTCTAAGCACTTGTCCTCTGGAATGACAAGTAGTGGGGTTAGTATAGACTTCATCTTAAACAATAATTTAGGATATTCTACATAAATGCAATTAGTAGATGCTAGAGTGGTTAAGCTTATTGTCTAACATAAGCTCTATAACTCCATACCTTTTAGATAAGGATAAAACATTACATCCTTAGTCTAATGAAAGTATTTAATCTACTTGTTTTCTTGGAATATATATATATATATATATATATATATATATATATATATTCAATATATATTTTTTGTAGTAAGCATAAATTCAAAATTTTATAAAGTAGTTAGTTCTTTTAAAAATCATATAATAGACTGCAAGGTCTATGTTTTATCCTCTTCAGAAACGTGTACTATCGGCATTCAACTACAAGCCAGATGGCCCTATCCCACTAGAAAATATGAAGGCTACCTCAGACATTAAAGGATAAATCCAAGTGACCAGGTGATCATGTGCCACAAGAAACATACTAATGACGAGTGAGTGTTTTTGACGGAATGAGTTGTGAATCGATTCCACAACTCCTAGGATGTTCCAAGAAGACTGTGTTTACAAAAACCATTTTCTTTATCACAATGAAAGGTTTATGATAGTCTCATTAAGTTGTATTCCAATCTTCACTATGAAACAATTTGAGCAGATTAAAGGTTTCAACAATAAAATATAAAGTCGTCGTTGATATTGATTTAAGTATCTATCACCAAATCTATTCATGGATTGAAAAGATTACGTACATCACTTAAGTATAATTCTTTTTCAATCCTTTTGTTCTTTAACTACTAATAGATAAAGACACTTACAAATCATCTTCCCATATAAATAGGAGTCACATATATCAATTGAATTAAGCTCATTTGCCTTCGAAATTTCCATCCCTTTGAAGTCGGTATATGTGTTTCTTATTTATATAGTTATGATGATTATGACATAGATAAGTTTCAATCAAATATCATTTTATTATTTAGGTTCTATGATTAGAACTATCAATTTAACGATAGATTATAGATTTACTTTATAAATGACATTATAAGAAAATATTCTTTAACACATATTACATCATTTTAGATCATGAATGTGAACATCTATTAAACAATAAGTAATCTTGATATATTCATAAATATACAACTGTTACATGTCCCTATAAGAATAGGTACAAAACATCTATTGTTTAAAGACTATAACAACACTTGTTATATCTCCAACACGAAATATCATTCGTTTGTAATCAGTTGATTATTTCTTCCAATCATCAGCACAAAATATCAATTATTAGTGTTACATTAAGTATAACATACTTATGTGAATGATGGAATAATAACTAATAATATCATATAGATATCTGAAGTCGTGTCCAAGTTAGACTTCTTCAGCTCGATGAGATTAGAGAAACAAATCATCTTTCAATGTCCAGTTTCTTCCACAAAAAAGACAACATTAATCATTTAGATCCTTTCTTGATTTCTGGGTTTATGGTGTATTTCCCTTAACTTAACTATAAGTCTATTTAAGTCCACAATCCCTTAGACTTCCATTCTTCAATGCTTGAATAGACTTGAAGCACTTTTTACTGTTCTGATTAAATATTTGCTTCACTTGATGAGGCATCTGACATGTTTCATAATTTTCCAAGACTTTATGCAAGTCAAGGTTAATTATTCCAGTATGATGTGAGACACATCGATGTCATCACAATAATACTTCCACCAAAGTATCATGATCAGACCGACTGGTTTGTAAAGTTTGTTCATGTATGGGATCTTCAGTATATATAATTTCAATTTATCCTTAAGGAAGAACCTCGAGGTATTAAACCAATCATAGAAATTATAACCATCAAATGTTACTATCTCTTGAAACTCAGCAAGAGAGAGTTTTTGCATGACATAATAGTATTAATAGTTATATACATAATTTAACAAAGTTTCCTTTAGTATTTTCAATATTAAGTCTTTAAAAATTGATACCCTTTATTGTTTCTAAAAAATTAATTTACTAAAGTCTAGTATCAAAGTAACGACACAAGTAAATGGTTAGGTGACCTTTATCCCATAAACTTAATCAAACTCGGTAGGTAGCAATCATCAATTGCATATTATATGTAACTCATAGATAATGGGATCCTAAACAACTATTGCTTAACTTGGCATGTTTATCTCATTTATGCATTAGACCTCTCATGCTTAGGTGATATTTATCAAACAAGATTCCGATCAAGTCATCCTACTTGAACATCTTGTTGTATTGCAACTAACTAGTGACAAGGTGACCCTTTAGACACCAGAAACTACAAACTACCCCCACATCATAAGACAATCCTAATGACCAAGTGATCCTATTCCACTAAGACCATACAAATGATACCGAGTGTCCTTCAAA